AAAAAAATATTATAATCACTTAATATTATTAAAGGTAAAAAAAGTAAAATTGATTAGATAATTATTAATTAAAAAATGTAACCACAAACTAAAAAATTAAAATGGATAAATTTGTCAATAAAATTAAAAAATTTTAATCCGTTAGCGGTTTGATATAAAAAGCTACATAAACTAACTTTTTCAATCTGCTAGCGATTTAGACCATAACCGCTATCCGCTAGTCTCAAACTGCTAAATAAAAATTTTACCAAACATTTTAGTTGTACCGGTTTCGAAATATATAAATTTACCAAACACCTATATTTAGCGGTTTTGATAAAACCACTAACCGTTACCCCAAAACCGCTATACCAAACAGGACCTAAATATTGGTTTTTGCCACTTTCAATGGGGCACGTAAGTGTGCTTTTGGGTTTTTGAAACGCAACCTCTTAAATCAGAATAACGTGGTCCAATAAAAATGGAAGTGCTGGCCGGAGAGTGCAGGAGGCGAGTGCCCCTAGCACTGCTCATAATTTATTATCAAACTTAAGAGATTTAGGGTTTAGGTGGTTGAAATTAGATTCTCATCGAATCATTTAAAAAACTTATCTCTTTTCCTTAAAATTCATGTTAAAAAAAGTGTGATTATTTACAATTTTTTTTAGTTATTTGTAGAAATTTAAGGCTCACTCAAAATTAAAAGTCTTATATTTTAATTCAAATTACTTATTATCCAAATTTAATTCAACTTTTAGACTTTAATTTAAATTTTAATTAGATTTAAACTTTCATAATTGAAAAACTACTATATGATTTTAATTCAACTTTTAATTAAAATTAGAACAACCAGTAATCCTTGTCTCACTACGCGAGAAATTTGGCCCTAAATTTATACTCATTGATTTTATCTAATTTTGGTTCTCTAGAACTTTGAATAATTTGAGCATTTTTCCTTAAAGAAAATATTTTTTGCAAACATCAATTTAGGTAAGTGGTAGCTTTGAAAAGGAAATGGATTTTGGTAAGATTACTTCTTTAAGGTTACCAAATAGGATTAGCTTATCTTTTTGTTTACATTTTTTTTTTTTTTAAAAGGAGTGAAAACCTAAATCTAAATAAGTCAAAAACTCATAGACTTCAGATAAATTTTACATGTCTCTGCATTTACGGAAAAAACATTGCGGACCTCCATCTTCCACCCCCTTGACACGGATTCTGTCACCTTTTAGCCACAGCTGTTTTTTCTCTAAGCATTAGCCACTTTCTATCTACCATCACCTTAAAAGTTAACACCAACAGCCTAATATAAACGAGTGTTTGTTATAAGATTCAAATTAAATTTAGGTAAGATTAAAAATTCAGTTTATTTTATGATTAAATACCCTTTTTGGTCCCTCTACTATCAAAAAAAGCCTTTTTTTGTCCCTATACTGAAAAAATCCCCTTTTTGGTCCCTACCGTTTAAAATCTAACTCCTTTTTAGCCTCTTCATCAGTTAAGTGATAACATGGCACAATAATCCGTTAAATGTTTTGTTTTGTTTTTTTTCTTTTCAATGGTGACATGTGATTACACATGGCAAACTTGATGAGTTGGCAATAAAATTTATTTTTCATGTAATCAATAGGTTCTAAAATAATTAAAAGAAAAAATCATCTTTTTCCCTTTGTCTTTTCATTTCCCATTTCTATCCTCATCTTCTTCCTATGCCCAAATCCCCGATCCTCTCTCTACCTTTGCCTGAACCTAATCCCCTTCTCATCCATTGATTTCTTCTTCGCCAAACCTTCCTCCATCAAAGCCCTCAAATCTTCACACCAATCTTCATCTCAATTAAAGCTCAAATCTTCACTAATTTGCCCCCATTTTCTTCCCCCTTTTGTCTTATCCTCTCTTTTCCTCGGCCTTCGTTTTTTTTTTTTTTACCTTTGCCTTTTGGTTGGGTTCGCAATGAGCCCAGAACCTCGTGAAACTAGCTCCTGGGTTTGTCGCTTGGCTTCATTCTTTTTTGCTTCACCATTCTTGGCTCAGGTATTGGATCTAAGATTTTCTATGTGTTGATTTTGGATTTCATGGTTAAGCAATCGTCAAAATTGGTAGAGGGGATGCGATATTGCTCAAGATTATGGGAAGAAATTTCATTTGAAATTGAAATGTGTCGACGAATGAGGAGAAAAGAATTGTTGTGAAAAATTAATTTTGGAGAGGATGGAAAGAACAAAAATTGTGTTGAAAATTGTTAAGTTTTTATCTAATTTATGTTTGAAAAGTTAAAAAAAAAAAAAATTAAAACTATTAAATTTGATTAAAAGAAATAAATAATTAAATATTACATATTAAATAAATTTAGTAAAATTATTACAGTAATATAATGTTTTATTTAATTTATGTTTAAACAGTAAAAAATAAATTAAAACTATTAAATTTGATTAAAACAAATAAATAATTAAATATTATATATTAAATAAATCTATTAAAATTATTACAATAATATAATATTTTTTTTATTTATGTTTAAACAGTAAAAAAATAAATACTTCATATTAAATGATTTTAGTAAAATTATTATAATAATTTAATGTTTTTTCCTATTCACCTTATCATTTTTATCAGTATTGTATTTTCGGGTATTTTGGTGGAGAAAAAAAAATAATTTTTTGGTACACATCATCAATTTTATCCCACATAGCATTTCCACATCAAAATTGAAAAGGAAAAAGACAAAATATTTAATGGATTATTGTGTTATGCTGTCAATTAACTGATGGAGGGATTAAAAAGAGGCCGGATTTCAAACAATAGGGATCAAAAAAGGGGATTTTTTTAATACAGGGATCAAAAAGGGGTTTTTTGAATAGTAGAGGGACCAAAAAAGATATTTAACCTTATTTTATTGATAAAGTAATAATTTGAATTTGAATTCATTTAGTTTGTCAACATTTTGCAATTACTTTTCAGTCCAAAATGGTTGCTTAGAATTTAATAATAAGTACAATCAGCTCAAACTCTAAACAATACATTAGAACTGAACCATGGTAGAACACACATGCTAGGTTAAAGTATATAATTGGTCCCTTACTTTATTAAATTTGAAGTTTTTAATTCATTATCTTACATTATGAAATTTTTAATCATTAAACTTAAAGGTTTGAAAATTTTAACCCCTTGACTAATAGAATCCATTAACTTTTCGTTAAAGTAAGAATATAATATTTACAAAATCAATTCTAAAAAATTAAAAATATAATAATTTAGTTTCAAAAGTTTAAAAATTAAAAAAATTAATAAATTAAAAATAATTAATAAATATCTTTGTCATGTACATAAAAATAATATTAGATATCTAAAATAAAATTGAGTGATTAGCTCAATCTAAAGAAAAAAATTTGACTGAGACTAAAGAAAATTTTTTAATTATATTCTTTTAATTTCTTAGAATTTTTGTCTTAACTCAATTAAAAAATTTTCTTTAATCTTAGTTAAAATTATTTCTTTAAATTGAGTTAATCACTCAATTTATTATAGATATCTAATACTGTTAAGCATACGTGAAAAATCCATTTGTTAATTCCTTTTAATTTACTAATTTTTTTAAATTTTAAACTTTTGGAACTAAATTATTATATTTTTAATTTTTAAGGACTAATCCTAAAAATATTCTATTCAACAGAGAGTTAACGGATTCTCGTTAATAAAGAGGCTAAAATCCTCAAACCTTTAAGTTTAAGGACTAAAAATTTCATAATATAAGGTGAAGGACTAAAAACTTTAAATTTAATAAAGTAAGGAGCTAAATGTATGATTTAGCCTGCATGCTATTCCTCTCAATCCAGGTTGTACATGATGCTAGAACAGTCTCCTAATCCTCTCAATCTAGGTTATGTACAACAGCAGATAAGGCATAACTTTTTGCTCTACGACTCCTCCCTCTACAATTTCTTCGAATCATTAAGCATTCACCATCCGATTGCTGTGACAAATGGCATAGACCTAATCTTTCAAAGTGGATTGCCACACACGCTTACACTACTGCAGGAATGAGATATTCAGACCGAAATATCGGTCCATATATATTACCAATCGATCTGAATATATATATACGGACCGATATTGGTCTTTATAGTTGATCTGAAAAAACCTGGTACGAATAAGTATAATATACAGACCGACGTATAATCGGTCCGTATATATATATTATCCGGAAGGAAATCGGTCCGGATATTTCAGTAAGAAATATAAATAATTATTGAGAAATTGAAATAAGTGGACCGAAATTGGTCCCAAAAAAATAATATAATAAAATAATAAAATATATACGAACCGACAACGGTCTGTAACTGTGGCGGAAAGAGGCATCGCAAATATATACGGACCGGGATCGGTCCGAATATTGAGGACCCAATTGCAACTTTTAAAACTTGCAACTATATCCAGACCGTTTCCGATCTGAATATATGGACTTGCATGCAACTTTTAAAAGTTCCGTACCCCGACGGGCGCCATTCTCAAACTATATCCAGACCGTTCTCGGTCCGAATATTATGGACTTGCATGTAACTTTTAAAAGTTCCGTCTCCCAACCGGCGCCATTCTCAAACTATATCCAGACCATTTTCGGTCTGAATATTGTGGACTTGCTTGTAACTTTTAAAAGTTCCGTCTCCCAACAGGCGTCATTCTATAAATATATCCAGACCGTTTTCGGTCCGAATATTTTGGACTTGCTTGTAACTTTTAAAAGTTTCGTCTCCCAACAGGCGTCATTCTATAAATATATC